ACTCAGTAAGAGAAAGAAACCGAACTTGGGGGCTGAGGAGAAAGCTCAACGGTCTAAGCGCCTGCCCGGCAAGTGCAAGGTCCCAAGTTCGATCCCCAGTACTGCATGACATACCAGCCCCAGAACCCTGGGCACACCATGCCGGCCACCGAAACCGGGTGCTGTGGCCCATGCCTATAACCTCAGTACTCAGGTGGCTGAGTCAGGAGGATCACTGCAAGTCTGAGCTGTGTAGTGAGACCCTGTACCAAATAAATAAACAAACAAATAAAGTCTTTTTTAAAAAATCAACTAAACAAAAAAAAGAAACCAAACTTGGGCCTAGGGCAGAGGCACATGCCTACGATCTCGGTTACTCAGGAGACTGAGGCAGAAGCATCATAAGTTCAGGGCAGATAACATTTTTCAAGGGCCGGGGATTCAGCTCTGGGGTAGAGTTCTTGTCCAGCAGGGTGAGACCCCGGGTTCAGCTTGGGGGGGGGGGTCCTTTGGGAAACAGTAAGAATTACGCAGGTGCAGTTTGTGACTGTCTCATTTATGCAGCACACAATCAGGCACAAGTGACATCGAAGTCCCCAGGAGCCAGAACACCATAGGGTAGCTCCAAGTACGGGTGAAATCCTACGTGCAAACACTGGCGATGACCGCGGGGAGACAGAAGCCTGACTCCTTCTGGCCTCCCTAGGTAGGCTGAAGGGCAGACTTTTCAATAGAAAAGAGGTGTGACCGCCAAAGCCCGCCCAGCCCACATCTGGGGCGGATTTAATTATCCCCTGGCGGAGCTGTTTTGACATCCACCGCTCTGTCACTTGTGCACCTGTGGCCTCTCTCTAGGCAAGAGGATGACTCTAGACAGGGAGCATGTGCTGTTCCTGCAGTTCACACCTGGCCCCTTTCCGGGAGGTTCCTCCCCCAACAGCTGTCCTCCTGCCCGGCTGCCTCCCACCCCTCGTCAAGCAGAAGCCCCAGCTTTCCCGCACTCAAAGTAACCCTGGCAGGGGCGCAGTGGGAGGAGAGGGAAGCCCGAGGGATGCGCCTCCAGGTTTAACCACTTAATCCCCAAAGTACCTGCCAAGAACCAGTTAGCGCGTCTGGCCAGCCGACCAGCCCGTCATTAATTCATTAAAGCAGGGTCCTAACGGCCCATTATCTTCCTAGCCGCTGACCGACCACGTCGCCTCTGGAGCTCGCCGTCGCTCTTTCTCCCCATCCTCTGGTCTCAAGGCTGGATTCTGCCCCCGCCCCCCCACGGCCGCTCCTCTCCCGGGCAGATTCCTCGGCTCCTACTCTCTCCCTCCCAGGGCACGTGTCTCCCTCCTGCCAGCGGCTCCCTCCCACCGTGAGCCGAAGCTCACCATAAAGCGTCTTTTGTTCCTCTCTAGTGTCTCAGAGCGGTGACTGGTTAAATCTTACCCATCCTCCCGCAGCCTCCAGCGCCTCGGAGGAGCCTGCCCCCAGGCTCTCTGGGAAAGGGAATCTCAGGAGTGCAGGAATTTACTGCCTCTCTTCCAGCTCGCCCGCACCATCTCAGTCCCCCTCCTCCAAGTGGGGGCTGGGATGGGGAGGTGGTGCTTACCCCTCAAAACCAGAAACTCCAGTTCTGACTTCAGGGCAACTCACTTGGACACTTTCTGCCTCCGTTTCCCCTTTGATGTAATAAGAATGGCCCTATTTATTTCAAGTGGAAGGTACCAAGAACCGGCCCAGCCCTGGACACTGAAGTGGATTTCTTAACGCCTCCTCCCCACACCTTGGACCAGTACAGATCCAGTTTACCCAGAGAGGAAACGTGAGCTGCAGGCTCTGAGGATGGTCACACTGCCCGCAAGTGGCTGGGTGTTTATTTTGAGATGCTGGGGATCAAACCCAAGGCCTCACACATACTGTGCAAGGTCTCTGCCACGGACGCGTCTGGGCCCTAAACTCATGCTCCTAATTTTCAGCCCATCCTCACCCATCTGGCAGGGGTTCCCCTGAGAGGCTGGGAAGGAGAGGTGAGCACCCGGACAATGATGATAAAACACAGACTACTTAGGGCAACAAACACACGGAGTGCACAATAACAATCCCAATAGCTGACCTCTATATCCACCTCTTGCAAACCAGGCATTGTTCTGAGCTGCATATTAAGTCTTTTTTTTTTTTTTTTGCATGTGAATTTATTTAACCTTCTTAGTAATTAATACCTATGCACTCAGTTCAGCACCCCTACCCCCCACTCCCACTACTATGGATTGAACCCAGGGAAGTATAGCCTTAGCCTTTCTAAAAGCTTTGCATTTTTTAATTTTGAGGTGGGGTTGCTAAATTGTCCAGACTGGGCTCAAACTTGTGGTCTTCCTGCCTCAGCTTTCCTGGGTTCTGGGATTATAACTGCAAGCCACCCATATGGGCCCTGCTAAATCCAATACTATTCTTGTCCCCATTTTACAGATAGGAAAATTGAGTCTTGGGACTTCTTTCTTTTTTTTAATGATGGCTTGTGAGGAAACTGTTACTGGTTCACAGTAGAGGTCAGAACAAGTTTGTTAGACTACTGATCTGCATATAGCGAAGCTCAACCCTAACACCTAAGAGACCATTGTTAAAGGTCTCCGACACAGGCCTGTCAGTGACTGTAAGGTAGGGTGTGCACACGTCCCTTTCCCCAGCAGGCTAAGGGAAGTGGAGGGCATCCTACAGAATGCAAGGAAGTCTTTCTCCACTGTCTTGATTTTCCCTTCTACCTAACTCACTAGAGGTGGGAAAATATGAAAAAAAAAAATTAAGCACGAACGCCAGAAAAGCGGGAACTGCAGGTCTTCTGAGGTCAGATGAAAATGGTGAGGAGAGAATTCTATCTGCCAGGCAAGGAGCCCGAGCATGGGGATGCCGGTGGCGGCACTGGAAGAGGGTAGTGTGGGGGCATCCTGGGGTCAGGGCGCCATAGGAAGCCTGACACCCCTGGAGATGCGGTGGTGGGCACAGAGAGGAGCAAGGGGTGCAGGAGAGCCCAGGGACGGCTGTTCAGAACAGGTGGCTCCGAATCAGGACTCAGGACATAAATGACTCTGAGACAGAACCAGAGTGAGCAAGGGGGAAAAAAAAACTCTAGGATGACACTTACCTGCCAACCCCTCGCATCAGCGAAACCTGCCTCCCACTGTCTCCGTCCGAGCACACTGGGGCACACCCTGTCCACGCAAACGGCGGGGGGCCTCAACTTTCATAGCCTGAGAGTACCCCGCCTCCAGCCACATACACTACGGGGCTCTGGTGAGGAGTCCCCACCCACCTACGTGTAGCTCCAGACATCCCCATAATCCAACCTGGACCCCAGAACTTAGAAGCCGCGTCCCAGCCCCCATTTCTGTTAGCTTCCTTTTTCTTCCCATCTTTCTTCCTAATCACTTCCGCACTCCAATGTACTCTGCATATGGTATCTCTCTCGATCCCCCAACCTTCTTTCCCATCTTCTTGACCTTCCTCCCCTCTCCCTCCGCCCTTCTTTCTGCCTTTTCCCAAATCCCACGCTCGGGGCTTCAAGTCCTTTCGTTTGCCTCGGGTTATTTGGGCCCTATACTTGGTCCAAAACGCTGTTTCCGCCCTTCTGGAGTCGGCAGCCCCAGTCCGGCCCCTTCTGGCCAGGATGTGGGGAGGCGGGGACAAGCGGATGGGACCTCAGCACCCGGGAGTCAGGCGGAGCGCGCCCCAAAGCCCGCACTTCTCTTCACCGGCGCCCGAGCTGCGCGGGCCCACGCGACATCTGTCGCCCGCGCTCCCGGCTCACACCCCGCGCACCCACGCAGCTCCCCGGGCGCTGCCACCCCCCACGCTCCGGCTGCCACCGCTCCCCGCGGGCGCAGACGCTCAGGCCTCGCGTGCGGGCGCTGCGCCAGCTTCCCGAGGTGTCGGCGCCCCAGGGGCTCGGCCCGACCGAGCGCGCCGAAGACGAGAGTCGGGGCCACCAGGTTAGAGGGCTCTCTGGCCTTTGATTTTCACCTGTGCCTCTACGCCTTCCAACGTTGGTGGCCTCGAGTCACCTGATTCTCTCCACTCCCACCCTCTGCCGCGCCCCTCTCTTATTCCAAAACTTGGGCAAAGGATCCTTATACGTTTGCTCCCCCAAAGTGCCTACCACAGTGTCAGGCGCACGACTAGTGCTCAATAATTCCCGCACCCAATGGCCTAGCATTTGTCAGCAGCACCGAACACATCAGGCGTTCAGTGGCCACCTCTGTGCAGAGCCTAGCGTACAGTAAGCACTCCACACATTCCCTCCCTCTGCAGAACAGCCTCAGAAGGGCTTACTACACACCTCTCACCAGGAGTTCCCCAGCAGAGTTTCTCCAGGACCCTCCGATTCCACCCCACTTCTAGGACATCTCAGCGAAGCAGCTCCCTAAGTCTGGCGACCGGAAGCCAAGCTCCTTGAACAGGACACCTCTCCGGAGAAGGAGCGATGAAGTTGTCAGGACGAAAGAAAACTGGCAAGTTTGTGGGTCTTGGAGGGAAAGACCCAGCCAGCCAGTAACCTGCAGAGCCTTAAAAGGGGGAACTCAGGAAGGGGGGGAGGTCACGGCAGGTCTGCGACAGCGATGGAGACGGCGGCGACTCACGACTGGCAGGCGCTGGCCGGGAAGGGGCCCGGGGACTTGTCTTGAAAATGAAGTGCCATAATAATGACTTGCGGCAGGTGGCCACGTCCCCTGGCAAGGGCACTTTTACTTGTGCTGTGTGCTATTTACTCTGGAGCTCGTGGCGACGACGGAACTGAAGTCCGCCCCAAAGTCTCCGCGCTACTGAGTGGCAGATGAGAAAGGGGCAGAAACAGTCTGAGTCTCCCTAGCAGGGGTGAGGACGGGTGGGAGAGGGGAACGAAGACGCTTCCTCGAGAGGGACGCAGAGAGGGAGGAAGAAGGGACGAGAAGAAGCCGAACTCGCCACTCCCCCGCCCCCGGGACCCCCCAGCCCAGATGCCGCGCCCTGGCTCTCGCCCGCTCCTTCGCTAGCTCGCGTACCTGTTGCTCGATCCGGCTGGGTCTCGGCTCTGGCCCCACCACGCAGCCCCGCGTTCCTACAAGTTCCGCCTGCCGAGAAGCCAGACTGCCAGCGCCGCCACCTGCGCGGCCGCGCACAGCCAGGGCCAGTAGGTGGGGAGCGCGCCGGGCACCCGCGCCCTCGGGCTCCGCGCGCGGCGCCGCCACATGGTGCGCTGGTGCAGCTCGTCGCCGAGCGCCTTGAGCCTGGCGGCCGTGAGCTGCGCGGCGGAGGAGCGCAGACCCAGGCGGCCCGCGCTGCAGGCGCACACGGCCGGGGGGCCGCGGCCGCGGTGCAGGGGGCACGGGCACATGACCGTTCGCCTCGCTCCCTCCCCGCGCTCAGGCCGCCCCTCGCCGCCTCTTCCTCCGGCCTCTGCGCCCGCGCCGCCGCCGCCGCGCTCCGACCGCCGGGGGCCTCCCCTGGACACCAAGTTTCTCCTTGGGTTGTGCGTTTGTTGTGCTGACGGCGCTATTATTAATTAAAGTGTCACATGGTGGAGGGGGGCGGGGAGGGCGCGGGGAGGGGGTTACATCATCCGGCCCCCGTGGGGGGTGGGGGCTGCAGGCAGAAGAAACCGAGAGGTAACTTTTAACCCTAGAGGCGCCGGCAGCGAGGGGGCGCGCGGTTTGGGAAGGCGAGCGCGGCACACAGGGACGCGAGAAGGCACCCTAGGTGCCCGGGTCTTGGCGAGTCGAGAGGGGACCTTCCACCATCCCCGCTGAGACGAGGATGGAGAAGGAAGATTTTCATCCTTTCCTTTTTCCAGAATTCAGCTCCAGTTCCGATTTGGCGAAGGAAGCAAGCATGTTTGCCGTGTTTTTTTTTTTTTTTTTAATGAACCGGATATCAAATTCGACTGTATTATTCAAAAATATTCCGAGGCTGCCGTTTTGTTGTGGGGAGGTGGGTGGTTTCAAAATCTTAAGGAAGAGCCAGACGCACCCCAACTTCCCTCGTTTCAGGTCTGACTCGGTGCTCGTAGCTTTGAGGTTGAACACACCCCCGACATACGTCCCCACCCCCTTTTGGGCTTGTTGACCTGACCCTAAGGCCCTCCAGTAAACCGCTAAGATCCTGATCGAGGCTCGGTGGCGGATTGGAGGGGTACGTCCTGAGCCGGGGGTGAGGGGCGGAGGGGCGGGGAGATGCAACCAAAAGACCCTTATGGAGAGAGGTCAAAAAAGAAACTTCTTTTTTGCCTGCTTTCCTTATAAATATTGTTTTCTTGCTGAGATTGACAGCGATCCAAATTTAAGACCCAGTAAAGATCCTCAGAGCCTGCATTTGAGTGTCTGGTGACACGGGCTACATTAGCCCTTCCCCTTTCTGATAGGAGGGAACCCCCAATATTTCTCCAGACAGGAAAGTCTGGAGTTGTCTGTCACTGCTAGGAAAGGTACAGACTGGAGAGAGGCCCACTGCCTTGATTTGGGAGGTGAGGCAGGAGACCTCTCTAATCTTAAATCTAGCGGGATTCTAAAACTCTGGGAAAGGCTCTGGGGTGGACCCACGCCAGCGATCTGGGAATGACCAGAAGTTTCCATTCTCTGTTTCCCACCTGCAGAGTATATTGCCAAGGCCGGACAAGCCCCCTGGTCCCTTGGAAAATAGTCATCAAGGCCATGAGCTTAGTTTTGTCTGCATGTATTACAAGGAGAGATTTCCCCTCTGGGCCAGCAGCATGGTGAAATGATAGAGTTAGGGATCAGACCTCAGGTGGGTTCTGTGACTCCGGTGGCCCTAACCTTCTCCTAGCCGCAGTTCTCTTAAGCTAACAATAGGCAACACCTACATCAACAAATGGGGCCAAGACCCCTAACTGAACTGCCTATGCTGAATCTCCCAATTGTGTGTGTGTGTGTGTGTGCACGTGCGTGCTGGGAGAGCACTAATACTATCCTATTTTCAAGATGAGAAAACTGAGGTGCATAAGTCTTCTCACCCAAGCTTACAGAGTTGGTAAAAAATGAAGCCTGGCTCTAAACTGGGGCAATCTGCTAAAGGCACTAAGCTCTTAACCATGGTTTTATACTGCCCCCTGTAATCTGGGAATAATACCTCCCTCCCAGGATTGGGGTAGAGACTAAATGAAAGAAATGTATGCCAAGCACCTGGCAGGCAGTGGGCTCTGGATAAACCTTGATTCCCTTTGCCTTTGGCCAGAACCACTTTCCCGTCTCCTGGGACCCACCTCCTTAATCCTCCTCGTCTTTGCAGAGGGGGCCTGAGCTATTGCCCGGGTGTAGCGTTCCAAGAATGAAGACACAGTGTCTATTTAGAAAGCCCTTTGGATTTAAATTGAACAGTCCTCCCCCCCCCTTTTTAATCTGCACGCTTTTAACGGCTCACTTCATGGACATTAATTTTAATGGGACAATTATTACCCTGTTTGGAAGGCTGCCCCTCGATATGCTGGGCTCACAAGGTGGTGCTGGGTTGGGTCCCAGCAGTTTGGATGTTTTCTGTAACAGAGAGCGAAATCTTGGCCTTAGGAACGCATCATCGGGCAGAGGGAGCAAAGAAGGGGGTGGTGGAAAAGTTGTAGACAAGGGAAGACTTCTGTGCTCTAGAAGCCCTGAATCTGAGAGCGCTTCATTTACTTGTGAAAGAGTGAGCCTGTCTTCTTCTACTTACTCACTGGGGAACTTGGCCTGAAGGTGTGGCTTTTGTGAAGCCTTCATTTCCTGGACATGAAATGGGACTAGGAATATCTACTCCACTGGTCAAACAAGGTCCTATTGGTAAAGCCCCATTGCATATTGTCAGCATTTGCTACACAGTTGGTGCCTGTTAATGGTTTCCAACAGACCACGTAGTCAGTACATGGTGTACTTTGAAGAATATTGGAGACACAGACGCTCACAGATACATACTCCCCTATTGTGAAAGGGGGACTCAAGCACTGATGCTAAGCATGGCCCAGAGAAGCAAATCCTCTGGGTAACATCATACTCTCCTAACACTTGGGTCAAAGTAAGCTTTTGCTAGTGTGTTCAGGGCATTCATTTCCATCCCTGGCACTACAAAATGTTTTGATGTTTACTAAACATTTATTGAATGAATACCATGCCATGCGCTGTTCTGAGCACTGCAGCTGTACTGACTCACTTAGCCCTAGTAAACCTATGCAATAGGTACTGATATTAGAATAATATGATAGATGACCACACTGAGGCAGAGTGTTTAAATAATTTATCGAAGATCATGCGGGTCTCTTGTGCGCTTTCACATTATGTCATCACTGAGGACTTGAGAGGAGAGAGGGAAGCTGCATGGGGTTGAGTTGTGACCCTTCCCTCCCTCCTTTATTCACACGTGGAAGTTCTAACACCCAGGATCTCAGATTATGACGTTTGAAGACAGAGTCCTTAAAAATGGTAATTAAGAGAAAATGGGGCCATTGGGATGGGCCTGAGCCCACTAGGACTGGTGTTCTTATAAAAGGAGGAAATTTGGACATAGACGTACACAGAAAGGTGACATCTGAAGACATTCGGAGAGAGTGGCCACCTACAAACCTACAGAGAGATACCTGGAGCAGGTCCTTCCTTCGCAGTTGTCAGGAGGAACCAACTCTGCGGGTGTGTTGACCTTGAACTTCCCGCCTATAGAACTGTGAGAAAATATGTCTGTTGTTTAAGCCTCCTAGATGTGGTACATTGCCATGGCAACCCCTGGAAACTAACAAGAAGAGGAAGCATCCTAAACGGGCGGCTAGAAGCAGACGTTTTCAGCAGGCAGGGGCTGCTTTCTCTGCTGGGAATATGATGGAGTATTTTTCTGAGTCCTCCAGAAGGAGTGTTGGTCCGTTCCCCTCCTTCCTTTTCTGCGTTGGAGGTCTTTAATTGAGGAATTGTAAGAGGTTATTTTGGAAAACAGTGTGTGGCAATCCCGTGGATAACTTCATTCAGAGAAAACTTTTTCGACATAATGCGAGGGAGTACAAATCCTCCATGGAGAGTTCTCAATGGAGTGAGATAGATTTTCTAGCTGACGAAGGTTTCCCCATGCTTGAAGCTGGGTACATAGTAGGTGCTCTGTGATTTGTTGAAACAAAGGCTCAGGGAATAGATGGGTGGGTGGGTGGGTGGGTGGATGGATGGATGGATGAGTGAGTTGGTAGGTGGACGGATGGATGGATGGATGGATGGATGGATGGATGGATGGATGGATGGGTGGATGGATGAAAAGCATCTCAATATGTCTTTTTCAAACATACACAGTGATCATGTAGAATTGTTATAGTCAATAAATATAAATATGCTTCAGAGCATTCCCTTACCCCCTACAGAAATCAATCCTTAAGTGTTTTAAACTGGAGAAGGTTGGATATTTCTTTAATTAAAACAATAATTACCTATCCTAGCGTTTGAGACTGAGTGAGCTTTACCTTATGCTGTTTTAATTTGTGTGGCTTGGTAGAGTGGTAAATGAGTGAACAGCTGTTGCCGCCCCCAAACAGCTGTGTTTCCTGGAGCCATGTATGAATGCCAAGGCCAGATCTGATGCCAGGAGTCGGCTTGGTGAACCACAGAGTTCTTGAATCAAAGTCAGACTTGTAACCGGGTGTTCTGATGCAGAGAGCCAGCAAGATCTCAATCGGACCCCTCACCCCACTGTGCGGTAGAAGCTTGGTGCCTTGGGCACATTGTTTACCTCTATGAACCTCCACATTTCCATCTGTAAAATAGGAATACCTACCTCTGTGGACTGATGTAAGGATGAAAAGGGAGGATTGTGTCAAGTGTTAGCAAAGTGCTCAGTAGCCCATAAATATCCTACAATCTTTGTTGATATCTTGGGATTATTAAATATCCACTTAAGAAACAGAATAGGGACCTTGACCCAAACCCACTGGGAAAACAAGTGGATTCAGATTTCAGTTCAATATTCAATTACATCACAGATATTCCCAGGAAAGTCCCTTCCACCCAACAGACCCGGAGCAAGACAGTTCTCATCTCTCACATTTATCTATTTAACTCTCCCATACCTGAAAAGATGGGGTAACCCCTTCTCCAGGGACTGCCTAATGATTCATTTGATACCTCCCCCTGAGGATCTTGTTGTTTGAGTAAAGAGAGAAAAGCAAATGAATGTCCACAGCAGGGGAGGAAAAAAATTAAACAGATCATAATTATAGTGTCATCAGTGCTTAAATGTAAAGGGTAAACCTCACTTAAATAAAACCTAATTCCTTGATTAGGAGTCACAAGAGAGAGGGCTGATTAAACTTGCACCCCTGCCGTGAAAATTTAGATATATTGTCCTTTGCTCAGGCAATAATCACCTTATTGAAGGCAACTAAGC